CTCAGATGGCGGCGGTGGCGATGACGATGGCGACGTAAATATGTCGGACGGTGAACGGCCGAAGAAGAAGTCCAAGGTTGGGAAATAGGTCCCTATGCAATCTACTGGAGTTCTCCAGTGCGGTGCGGTGCAGTGCAGCTGGATTGTACTCTATGCCTTTAGTTCGGATTTTAATAAAATTGGCGTCGCGGTGCAGCTTTACTTTTGATCACGCGCAAGCTCTTAATAATATGGCCAAGGTCCAGAGCACTTCACTATCCCTCCTTGACCACTTCTGTAGTTGAATTTCAGATTAACTTTAAAGGTCTTTCTGGCGCTTTCGTCGGACTACCCCGTACATGGATCGGCTCAATGCCCGAGCTGCAGAGATCAACAACCCACCACAAATCCAAGACATGTCATATTCTGTCCGAATCATTGCATGAACCATTAGTTTGAATTCCGCTAACGACAAGCCCTGAGACTATTGGATATCGCCTGCATAGAGCATGCATGTTTTGAGAACAATGGGGACTAAAGTAAAGTAGACCGTAGATACTGGCTGCTTAGAAGTCCTCGCCCCATGTTCTATCTGTCGAACCGGTTTCGAGAACAAATGCCCTTTAAAGAAGCACCGGTATGTTGGGGTTCTGGTCAATCATTTTAGTGAGCAATAGGTACAGGTAGTCATGACTTTTGAGAGTTCAATGATCCAATGATATTCAATATCTAACCATGTTCTTTCAGTGTGAGATGGGGATGTTTGATCTCACACCACGCAGGCAGCCTTACACGTCGACATTTGAGAAAAGTTGCGGTGAACGCAATATTCAACACTGAACTGGAAGAGGCCAGGAATTATATCACAATCGACTACAATGGGGATAAGTGCGTAGGACAACATCTTCTAGTGTTGGACGCCAACGTCTAGGATAACATTATTACCCGGAACAGAGACGGGCGAGTGCCTGCTTCGCAAATAAGGCCTAGTACAGGGTACATGCGTACCTGTAACATTCGCTAGCCTTCCATTTACCTTCTCATGGCAAAAATCTCGATACTGGCTGGCGCTCCTGTTGACGTGGCGTGGTCTGGTAGTAAGCGGGGAAGGTATGAAGAGGCTAGCTCAGGAACTGAGACACCACAAGACCAGGTTAATAAACAACCTGAACTCGGTCTTGGTGTCCAGCCACCACTTGGAAATTCTTGTAAGCTCAATTTGTGAATCTTCTCACCGAGCAGAGATTCAAAATGCGATCAACGGGTGTATTCAAGGTTTTGCTGGTGTGACAATACCGAGAGACGTTAGGGTGGAGATGATTGGCTGTGGAGCCTGCCCTGTATTTTAACCCCTGATGATGACCGCCCAGATACCAAGATACGGACCAGGATACGCCCACATCTTAGCGATCTTCATGAGGTCTTGGGGAAACGGTTCGCGATGCTTCAATTTCAGGTTGGCCAGGTTTACCTAATTGTCTTTCCAAGCCGGGGCCTCGCATACCACATGTATCTGTGAGTCTCGGCCTAAACAAACATACTACTTCAGTACGAAAGACTACAGGTATGGCTGGTTGAGTAGCACATAACGGATTTGCAGGTTTGTGCTAGTTCTGCATGGGAAGTGCCAATTAAAAAGGAAAATACCAACCATGGGAGCTGTCATGCAATTGGATGGCCCGGACGGGAATCGGCCAGGTTGACGGTGTTGGCAGTTCTGCGTGGTCCTGTTCGTCTCAATCCTTGGGTCGGATGCTTCCCAGTTGTTTAGGAGGCCGGATCGCGAACCGGGCATGGAAAAGAGCAAAATACCACGCGTGTGCCAAATACCTTCAAGTAGAACTCAATAAGGAATGGCACAGCAGAACGAGCAGTGTAGAAGAGACATGTCGTCTTCGTTCTGCGGCGGGAGACAGTCGTTCCTACCGAAGATTTAGGCTGGGAGCCCCTTTCTTTGGCTAGCTGGCTCCTCCGACAACTGCTTCATCCACCCCATCAACTCTCCGCAGGTCCAGTCCCTCGACCCTTCCCCCTGTTCTTCATTGTTCTCTTCTCTCTTTCAGCGTCCTTTTTTTTCTCCCGTAATTTCTATTTCGAAGGAATCTTTTTCTTCTTCTGATATCCATTTGAGCGGACCCTCGCCCTCGTGGATTTCAGTCCCTTTCCTCGGATCTCCTTTTTCTAGTCAACGACATCAAAGGTAAGATGGCTTCATTTTTTTCTTGACCCTCTCCCTCCGTACCACAGAACACCTGTGGAAGCTGCGGTTTCATCCGACTTGCTGGACGCTATTACTTTGGGCCGCTCCCCTTGATCCTCGCTGCAAGGACTCTGTTTGCTAACGCATAAGGTGCAACCTGTTCAGGGGGACTTTCTCTCCAGCGCTCGCTACCTCACGCATCCACGCTCGCTTCCATATCACCTCATTTTCCTTCCACAATGGGTAAGCTCAGCGCGTGCTGTTTTTCTTCTTATCAATCTACGCCCGTCTGCCCATTCTTTGGTTCTTGGATCCTCCTCTGTTACTCGGAACACCCCTCCCGTTACGCTTCAAAACCATGTCCCCATCTCGACGACAGAGTGCGCATGGTCGCTCCCAGATAGATGCTCTGAACATCCCCATCGAAGAGGAACCTTCGCGGCCAAAGAGTTTCTCGCACTTGACGCGCACTACACAATTGTCATCCGAAGATGATTCTAAAACCCCTACAACTGCTGACTCCATCTTCTCCCGTATAGCATCACCACCTCCCAGCAGTGACAGCCCGGCTCCCGCTTCCCCGCCCAGCAGTAAGCCCGGATCGCCTTTTGTTGAGCGCAGCAACCCAATGGGCTCCGGAAATGCCCAGACCGTGACCTCCAAGGACCCAAAGGCCGTTGCTCAGGCTGCCACTGACATGAAGAACGTGGTCCGCCGGAAGCTGACTGGCTACGTCGGTTTCGCCAATCTGCCCAACCAGTGGCACCGCAAGAGTGTTCGCAAGGGATTCAACTTCAATGTAATGGTTGTTGGTGAGTTGTATATCGAAGGGGTAGATCCGTGAATCAAATCAACTGACTGGATTGCTAGGTGAATCTGGACTTGGAAAGTCTACTCTCGTCAACACTCTGTTCAACACCTCCCTCTACCCCCCAAAGGAGCGCACCGGCCCTAGCCACGACATCATTCCCAAAACTGTCGCTATCCAGTCCATCAGCGCTGATATCGAGGAGAACGGCGTTCGTCTTCGCCTGACTGTTGTTGACACCCCCGGATTCGGTGACTTCGTCAACAACGACGATTCGTGGCGTTCAATTGTGGAGAACGTTGAGCAGAGGTACGATGCCTACCTCGAGGCCGAGAACAAAGTCAACCGTACAAACATCATCGACAACCGTATCCACGCCTGTGTCTACTTCATCCAGCCCACTGGCCACTCTCTGAAGCCCCTCGACATTGAAGTTATGCGCCGATTGCACAACAAGGTCAACCTGATCCCAGTGATCGCCAAGGCCGATACTTTGACCGACGACGAAATCTCCATGTTCAAGAAGAGGGTATGAATTCACGCACGTCACTAATTTGGGGAACGTTCTTAATGCTAATATGTTTCCGTGTTTCTTTTTTTTAGATTCTTGCCGACATTGAGCACCACTCGATTCAGATCTTCGAGGGGCCTCGCTATGAACTTGACGACGAGGAGACCATTGCCGAGAACCAGGAAATCATGTCTAAGGTTCCGTTCGCAGTTGTCGGTGCCAACTCCGAGGTTTCAACTTCCGATGGCCGCAAGGTCCGTGGCCGTAGCTACCCTTGGGGTGTCATCGAGGTCGACAACGAGGAGCACTGCGATTTCGTCAAGCTGCGCCAGATGCTCATCCGCACCCACATGGAAGAGCTCAAGGAGCACACCAACAACCATCTGTACGAGAACTACCGCTCGGACAAGCTTACTCAGATGGGTGTTGCCCAAGACCCAAGCGTGTTCAAGGAGGTCAACCCTGCTGTGAAGCAAGAGGAAGAGCGTGCCCTGCACGAACAGAAGCTCGCCAAGATGGAGGCAGAAATGAAGATGGTCTTCCAACAGAAGGTGGCAGAAAAGGAAAGCAAACTGAAGCAAAGCGAAGACGAATTATATGCTCGACATCGCGAGATGAAAGAGCAACTGGATCGCCAACGTGGCGAGTTAGAAGAAAAGAAATCCCGCCTCGAAAGTGGAAGGCCGCTCGAAGAGAAGGGGAAGAGAAAGGGATTCTCTCTTCGTTAATCAGACGCTTCATAGTAAGCCCTGACAACACTCTCCAAAAAGCCATGCAAGAGCCACCAATAGTATGTATGGTCGTCGGAGGCTCACTGGTGGTTCTACGTTTGATTCTCCACGACTTGTCGATTGATCGAGCGCTCTCTACAATGTCCCGCCCTCTCTTTTTCGTGTTTTTCATCGTTCTCGACGCTCCCTCTTATCCGACTCTCTTATCTGCTTCCAGTAATGACTGAATCTAATTGAGTGGACCGAAGGGGGGGAACGGGTTGCCTCGTTGCCTTTGCCTTGGGCTTATACAGGAGATGTGCCAGGATACAAGGGCAACTTTCAGACTCTCAATCGATCTGTTTTGCATGCTCGAGTGATCTGGTCCTGGATTTGCAAGATGATGCACGGGGTGGCGGCCTGCAATCCGCCTCAGGTTGGGAATTTACTGCCTCATGTCCACAATTCACTTCTTGTTATGTACTTTTGCCTACGTTATACCTCGTTCCCGCCTGCTTCCTATTACCCTTCTGCGGTCCAGTGCTGCTACAGTTCTATATTTCGTTGCACCTTTGTCTCTTCTACACATTTTAGTGAGATCACCCACCCTCGACCATCTTTCTGGACGCTTTCCTTAAACCTCTTGTGAAGTTTGTTCTGTTAGTTGCAATTTGAAGTTTTAAAAAAGCACGATCGGTGTACCATGTAGCGACCGTCAAAACCACAAGAAAAATAAGGAGGTACTCTCGACAGGTACCAGATTTTAAGAGTGTAGTACTATGGTAAATAACCATGAAATTAGATATAAAAAGCCGTAATAAGACGAGGTTGCATCATTGCAGGGTCGGCGACGTCACCGGTTCCGCTGGTATACCAAGATCCCGAGGGTCAGGTTCCCTCATGGGAGGAGCTTCCCCATCCGATCCCCGTCCGCCGGCACACACCAAAAGCACACTGACCCGAAACTAACTACCGCCTCCCCGCCCAGCCTCCCTCACAGGTACAACCTTTCCTCCAAGACGGAAACCTCGTTTACTCAATTCTTATCACCTGTCTATCCTTTCTCAGAGTTGGCTATCCGCCCTCTCCTCGTCTTCGTCCTTGTCGGGCAGCTTCCTCTTCCCCTCCCTCGTGCTCCAATCCTCCGCTGAGACCACCCGTTCACCTTCCACGTCAACTAGTCCAGATCGCCCATTTCAGCGAATTCGACTCTCATGGCTCCTCCGTCAAATCTGCCTTTGGTTGAAAGGCTGAAGGCTCTGGCCCAGACATTGCAGTATGTTTTTTTTGGTTCCTGCATCGTGCGCTCCGTGACTGACCAGGTGTCATCCTACAGATTTGCTTGGTTCATTGGGTAGGTTTCTCGATTCCCTTGGTCTCTACATGGCTCCGGTCTCTGTTTTTTCAAACTGCTACGCCGAATTCCGAATATTTTGGCCTCGAATCTTGTGCCTTTTCTCTCTTTTGAAGTGACACCGTGTTTGGCGGTGACCATTCGGTGGCCTGTTGAGCATCCGGAAGAGCAGCGCTGACTGACCGACTTTAGGCATGTGACATTGCTAGGCTCTGTCTTCCGATACCTACTCTCCTATGTCACCTTTAACTACTACTCTGGTGCGGCGCAGGTGTCTTATCGCCTAGCGTTTGTATCTGCTGCCGCTACGTATGGAATTGTCGTGTACAAAGGTCATATCGCACGCGGTCGCCTCCAAGGGAGCCTTCCCAACGTTGTACTAAAACTTGCGGGCGATGAAAATGTCCAATACCTGGGTGAGTAGCCGCCCAACAAGAACTCGTTGTTCCGGCGGCTAACAATCCCAATTCCAGGAATGGCCTTGGTGTGGCTTTACTCCCGCCAAATTCCTCTTGCTCTGTTGCCATTCAGCGTTTACTCAGTTTTCCACGTTGCGACTTACACGCGGGCCCATTTAATTCCTACCCTCCAGCCTCCCAGTGCGGCAGCTGGATCTCCCGGCGGCCGATCCGCTGTGAAGCAATCGCCTTTGGCAGAGACCATTGGACGGTTCGTTAAACAATACTATGATGCCAGCATGGATCTTGTCGCTGGATTGGAAATTGCCCTTCTGTTCCGCTTGGCGGTGGCCATCCTCACCTTCTCTAAGGGCAGCATCCTCCTCTTTATCATCTACCTCACCTTCTTCCGAGCCCGCTATAGCCAAAGCTCCTTCGTTCAACAGGCCGTCCGTCACTTCACTGCAAGAGTCGATGCCTCTGTGTCTCACCAAAGCACTCCTCCGGCGATGCGTCAGGGTTGGGAAGGTTTCAAGGACGCCGTTCGCCAGGCATACCAGGCTACAGACGTTAGCCGCTTCACTTCCGGAGCAGGTGCCAAGAAGCCCCAATAGAGGACAACAACTATAACTGGAAACGATTCGCCGGTATGTCGGGGCAAATTCAGGGAATCAGCAACTGAATGGCGTTCCCATAGCACCATGCTACCTGCTGTCGCCGAATCCAACCGGACTTAGTGACAATGACCGTGACTGACGAACTTGACGAATCCCATGAACCATCTATCCCGACGTCTGTTGAGTCGATGGTATTGTAACGAGGAAGACAGTTATTATGAGCTGTATGATCAGCAAAGAGGTTGTGAGAGTGTGTAGTTTGGGGGGTCAACTTATGACGAACATGAGTGTCTTTTTTTTTTGATCCAAGTTGGAGTCGACAAATGCTGTGAGAGGTATTGTCCTCTGGTGTTTTCGTTTACCACCTCCTTGCTCTGTTTATCCTATTTTCTATCTCAAATGCGAAAAAAAAAAGTGAGGAATTTCCTTGAGTGTTTGGTTTTGAAACAAGTAGAGTCTTAATGGCCCATTCATTTGCCATAAACTAAGCATATCCCTTTCAACGGTACATTGGGGTAGACTAAATATTGCTTAACAACGTCATGCCTTCGGGAGGTTCAAAACGCCGAGATAGGTGTGTGTGCCTGAGGCCTCTCTTAGGCTCGGGCGGCGGAGAAAACGGGAGTCCGACCAAAATTTTGGGGCCTTTCTCACCTCCCAGGATCACCGTTTTTTCTCGACGAGAGAGGCTGCGATGCTGATTTGCTTTCTGAAATACTCTCGCTGACGCTGGCATATATGTTTGGACCTCTTTAATCTGCATATTTCTTTTTGCCGAACCCCCATTACTCTCTCCGGCCTTGTTCGCTTTTACCCTCGCCTGGGGTGGCGCCGTTCAGTTAGCCCGACACCGCCGCATCACAACTAACCGTGGTCTCGCCCGCACCACGATTCGTTGGGTTGCGGTGTTCTTGCAATGAGCTTGACCTCGCGCGTATTCAGCCTGTTTACGCCGACAGACGCATCCGCTGATTCTACCACTCCGGCGGTTCAGTCGGCCAATTCCAGCCATGTCACTCATACTGCGCCGATGAGGTCAGGGATTGACACGAATGTACACAATGGACCGACGGACCTTGATGAGGAGGAGCCACGTCCTCCCTATGTTCATGTGTGTTTCTCCTTCTATCCCCCGGGCGCGCTTTATCATTACATCTCAGAAGAGACCTAGTGCGCCGGATTATCAAAAATGGGCTGACCCAAGACTCCCTCAAGGCAATGTTCGCTGGAGGTATAGGTGGTACCTGCGGCGATATGCTCATGCATTCACTGGATACAGTCAAGACACGGCAACAAGGTGATCCTCATTTTCCTCCAAGATATACCTCAATGACCTCGTCATATGCAACAATATACCGACAAGAAGGGATTTTACGTGGGTTATATGGTGGAGTTACGCCTGCATTATTCGGGTCTTTTCCGGGTACATTAATTTTCTTCGGTTGTTATGAGTTCACGAAACGGAGGATGCTGGACGCGGGGATTAATGCCAATGTAGCGTATTTGTCTGGTGGTAAGAAGCTGTCGTGAAGTTCGTCCATACATGCGTGGTGCTGATAAGATGATTACACAGGATTCCTGGCCGATCTTGCTGCTTCCATCGTTTACGTCCCTAGTGAAGTCTTGAAAACTCGATTGCAGCTCCAGGGCCGTTATAACAACCCATATTTCAAGTCCGGATACAATTACCGCTCTACTGGAGATGCGCTGCGCACGGTTATCCGTCAAGAAGGTTTCTCGGCCCTTTTTTACGGCTACAAGGCGACCATCTTCCGCGATCTTCCCTTTTCCGCTTTACAATTCGCATTCTACGAACAAGAACGGCGGGTAGCGAAGGAGTGGGTGGGATCTCGAGACATCGGATTGGGGCTAGAAGTTTTCACTGCTGTCACGGCGGGTGGAATGGCCGGCGTCCTCACGTGCCCTATGGATGTGGTGAAAACGCGAGTCCAAACCCAGCAGAACCCGGAGCCTACAGCGGCCCCAGCTGCACCGAAACCCCCAATGGAGCAGAAACCAACGTCGGGTGTGCGGACACAGACGCGACCGATATCAACCTCAGCACCTGTGGCATCGCCGGTGCCAGCCGGGACTATGCGATTGGACACCTCGTCGTTCTTTACGGGTCTGAAGATGATTTACAAGACGGAGGGCGTCGCAGGATGGTTCCGAGGCGTCGGTCCACGAGGAGTGTGGACCAGCATCCAGAGCGGGACGATGCTGGTCATGTACCAATACCTGCTCAAACAGTTTGAAGCCTTTGAGAACATGGAGGACTCCAACCCTCTTTGAATGTGCTTCACGTTCCTTCCATTCACTGTTCAATGCCACGGCCGACCGACAGATTGAGGGCAGGAGAAAGCAGTACTTTTCGATTGTAGATATACCGCATTGGATCTGGATGGCTAGGTTGGTGGGGCGTTTTGTGGGATTTTTCGATTCTTCCTTGACTTGCACGCCCGATTGTTGACGGCATGGCATGATGGCCCTCTCCCTCTTATGTACACGTGTATATACACTTTTCTTTGCTTGCTTTGCTGGGGGGTTACGATTGATATAGACTAGAACATAGGTAATTGTACAATAGAATAGACCAGTACGGGCTCTTTATGATTCACCCATCGAACAACGTAATTGTTTGCTAATTGCTTGTGATAATGAAAATGATCTGTGCATTGCAGCGGATGTATATCATTCCCTAACGGGAAAAAGAGGGGGGCGAAATGTAAACAAAAGCGGGACGGCTGTGATTGGCTACGCGCAGCAGCGTCGATTGAAGTCGTGACCCGGGCTCTGGATCGGTTCTCCCTTCCTCTGCCCCGGCCTGTTATTTGTTATTATTATTGTGCCTATGATCCATACCGTCTCCCAACCTTAGATTACTTCTTATTTGTTTCCCCATCACCTCCCGCGCGTGGATCAATTCTATCTAAACTTCCACACTCCCCCTTGCTCTACTCCCGTTATCGCATGGTCCGCGCGTATCGTCATGTCTTCTGGATTGCCATACTTGCAAAAGCTGCGCAAGGCGCAGCTAATTGAATTCGCTGAAATTGTCGCTCTTCAAGAGTAAGTCGCGCCTTTGTTCGCAAGAATATCGCATTTCGCGCGTGCTAATTGCGATGTCTCGAATCCAGCTATGAAGACGACACCAAGCCTGACCTTGCCGCCAAGCTGGACGACCACCTCCAAGCTAACAACTCCATCTTTGGAAAGGACAAGCGACTAGCAGATTACTACAAGCGCACGTCGCAATCGCCCTCGTCTCCCGTGAAGAGGACCGCCAGCAAGGCTAGCAAGAGCGAGACCACGCCTATCAAGGCTGAAGCCTCGAGTACAAGCTCAGCTGCCCCCAAGTCTGCCCGTCGGCGACAGACCAAGGCAAGAGAGGAAGCAGGGCCTTCGTATGTCGCGTCTTTTTTTTTGTTCCGCGCCGTTCCGATAGCTAACGCGATCATTGCAGCGATGTTCCCGCCAATGCGCCCTCGCAACCACTTATAGATGTAGCTGTTCGGGACGTGTCTGCTGTGACCCCCGCACGCCCTCTTCTCGATGCAGCCGAACAAACTCCAGCTGTGGGCTCGGAATCTCAGCGTCATCGACTGCCCCCGTCGCCTGCCGTGGTCACTGAGGCTATTGAGCGGCAAACGACTGCATGGCGCCAGAGCATCGGCGAGGCTTGGGAGGGTTCCGGTGTTCAGGAACACTCAAACTCGCTGCGCACAACTCTCAGCAGCGTCAAGGCTGTTGAGGTGATTGTCACGATTCTTGAGGGGTTCAGCCTTATCAGGGAGGTTCTGCCGCTGCGCTATCTTGCTACGATCCCTTCGAATGAAGCTATTCATTCCCCAGCGGTTCCGGTCAAGGTCCCTGATCTCTTCGTGTTGGTTGACAGCGCGTTCTGGGCGCCGGTCTCGCTGTGGATCCTTACAAGTGTGCTCCTGCCTTTGACCGTTGCTTATTTCTTCAACATTAGCTTGCAAGTCACGCAGTCGGGTAGTTCTGGTGTCCAGACCCGCCGCCGCAGCAGCACTGCAAGCAGTGCGCAGGCAACTTTTGATCCTCTTAGCTTCAACATCGCCAAGGCAATTGTCGCGTATATTGTCTACGCGCACGGATTTACCTTCTGGAATATCTATGGCAGGGACGCGATTACAACAGTCAACGCGTCCATCCCATTCCAATATGCAGGGATACTGACTGGTACTGCGATCGGCACCGTCGGTACTCTGTATGAGGCTATTCTGAGGAAGTGATCGACTTCCTTGCGAGTAAAGCTATTTTGAGGAAGCAATGGACTTGCTAGCTCATAAACGGTGTATATCAGTGGTAGGACCCGTGACATGGATATGGAATGTATGAAGATCCGAAAGACAGTTTGTTTTTGTTTTTGTTTTTTTTTTGTTTTTTTGGTAGATGAGCTCGCGAGCTTGGGCGATTTTTTGTTGTTTTTTGTTTTGTATGTCTGCCGTTTTGTTTCCCGTTTGTTGTATTGCCGAAGGGGATGCGTCGCAACCTACAATTGTGTGTGTGTGTGTGTGTGTGTGTGTGTGGCCTTTTCCAGGATTTGATCATCGGGTGCTCAAGATTATTGATATCCTTGCTTTCTTGGTTTTCAGGTTTATTCCGGCGCGATGAGAATGGGATTGCTACTAGTTATTTTTTGGCCTTCTTGGGATGGGATGAGGATATATGTACAGTGTACAGTTCTTAGGTTCCCTTCTTGCCTCTTGATGCTTTTATGCGGGACAGGCGCCTTTTTTTTATGCTGGTTAGGAAAGGATTTAATGCACCCGACTTCTCTATATTGCTTTTTGTTTTCCGTCTCATTCTTCAACTAATTCTATATTGTATATAGTCACAAGTCTCGTGCAACGGATGAAAATGAAAAAAAAAAAAATCCAACCCATTTTCAACCAAACTCATGGTCACGGTCATGGTCATGACTTCAGCCCAGCCCCGCGCTTCAACCTCCTTGCTAACTCCAAGGTAAACAAAATAGGGACACCCGTCTGTACCTGCACAGTGTCGGCGCGGATATGGTTACTCGTGCTAAGCTGACCCCCGATTTCGGTCTTCCAGTCTTCAACGTCCCACTCGAATCCAGATATCGTGATTCGTGCGGGGCCCAGGATGGGGATTATGCCGACGTTTTCTTCGAGGATGAATTCTTCCTCTTTTGAGTTTCTTGATATTATTTCTGATTGTGGTGATGATGATGATTGGTTTGGTTGTGGTCTGTTCGTCCGCGGGACATGGATGATATTCTTCCCCGGTTGAAGAATAAATGTGATACTTTCCTCGGAGATGAGGTAGATCTTTCCATCAGAGTTCCGTTGTGTCTGTGTTTGAGTCTGATTTTGGCTCTGGCTCTGGCTCTGGCTCACCTCATACAGATGATGGATCTGCGAGAATGCCTGGTCTACGCGGCCGCCCAACCCGCCCAGGACGAGAACGGATAGACGTAACCTCTCGTCAGAGTTCCCATTCTGATGCGCATAACGAGAAAGGATGTCCTCCTCATTCTGACGGATATGGCTAATACTCTTGGTGAAATCTGTTGAGTACTCGTCGTCGATCTCAATGATGTTCACGCCCAGGTTTGCGTAGTGCGTCCGCACCTCTGGGCGGATGGAGTCCAGGTCGCCGATTATGGTTGAGGGAAGCTTTGGATTGCCTGGTTAGTTTCTTTTTACTCTTTGGGGATGAAACTGAACTGGGCTGTTGTTTGGTTGGGAGACGGGTGGATGAAATAGGATACATACATCAAGACTCTCCTCGCCTCGTGACTTCGCGGACTCGAAGAACCAGTTCGCCCCGCCGTCGGCGCAGACGGTTTCAAGGGCTATACATAAATATTAGACTTTAAATGCTCATCTCGAACGCATGTCTGTAAACTTCCACAGTGTACAGGGCGCGGTAACAGTGCAAGTTGATGGGCGTGCAGATGATGCGAGGGATATATGACATACCATGTTTTCGCAAAATGGCGAGTGCAGTCTCGTTGATTGGATGGTTTAGGACCAGAAGCACAAATGGATGCGGTGGGATTGATTCATCCCCGCGGAAGAATTGGGTTGGATCCCATTCCATGGTTAGTGTGGATATTGAGCTGTGTCCGTCTTTCTAGGTGCGGTTTCGTATATCGTGACTGACGGCGCGGTTTAGCCTAAGTTAGACAAACCCTTGGGCTCGGTAGGCAATAATATTCGAAAGATAGCAAATATGATGACTAGGTATATCTATCAAGCTAGTTATATCGGGTTAAGATAAGGTTGAAAATACGACTGATAACTCTTTTTGGCAAGTGGGCGCGTTTGCGATGGCTGTAGATGCTGAGTCAGCAGGTGCCTTCCACCACCAAATTGACATCATTCCTAACACCATGCATGCATTAGTTCATATATAGCTAGCAGACTTGTGGGAACTGGGATAATGATGTATCAGGGTATTGCATTAATACGGCTAATCCTGTTGGGTGGTGTTATTACATGGATAAGGTATCCGTACAAGCTTCCAGTGGAGGAAGTATATATAAGTGGTAGGAGGAGTTGTCCACGTGGGGACTGTTTTAACATGTCCTTATAGATACAACAGGGAAATGACGTAGATAAGACTGTTTTTGTCGCTCTAGTCTTAGGCGGCAGCGAAAATATCCTGGTAGAAGATTTGCGGTGTAGAACGTCAGAATTGCGGGCTGGAAGGATTCGATGATGGGAACTCCAAAGGATAATACAATTCCGAATCCAATTAAGATTCAATCTGACAGAACTAAGGACATGATAGTTAACAAAGTATTAAGTATATTATTTATCCGAATAGTCTAGACTCCCCCGCAGTAGTGAAATATCCAATAACGATAGAAAGAATGAAAGGCAACAGGGAAAACACAAAGCAAAAAGAATTCCGTCTAAGTCATCATTATCGTAAGAGCTTCTGCCTGATCCCAAATCCCCGGAACAGGCTCCCATAGTACGCAGGCAAGCTGGCCCGTGCCGGTGACTGGACAACTACCGAAGAGCCATGTACTCAGCCATGGCCCGGTAATGGAGGGCTGCGTCCTGGTTCTTCGAACTAGCGTTGCTTTTGCTTTTGCTCTTGGAGAGCCACTTGCGCTTGGCCTCCTCCTTCTCTTTTACAACAGTAGATGTGGAGGCACTGGAGTACGTCGATGAGGTATCATCGAAGGGCTTGGTGGAGGTTGTGGTGGAGGACTTGGTGTTGCTGGAAGCCATTGTTGATTGATTGTTTGAGAGAGGCCGGCGTTATATCGAAATGGTATTCTGGAAGTAACCGAAGTGGCTAGAGAGGTTTGAAGTGTTATGGAGGCAACCGAGGGTTGTTTTTCTGGCTTGTGGAGTGTAGTATATAGAGCGCGAGTACAAAGATACTGGAGGGTTGATTTTTGGTGAGAGTCCCCAAAAAGAAATTTTGATTGTTTGAACGATGCTAATATTGCTGATGAGAAGAGGGTCCAGACGAGGGATTGAGTTCCCTATATATACTGCTGCTTGAGCCATCTCGACGCAGGGCTGGTCACATATTTTACTCCGATCAAGCTTCGGAGTTGCCAAGAATATACCAAAGGATGCAAATGACGCAGGCAGAAGGCCAAATTCGAAGGCCCAAAGCTTAGCAATGGGGAATCTGGTTGCAAGATGGTCCCCACCTCCACTGCGAGCGACCAGTCCCCTGCAGAGATTTCAGCCATGGCTGGCTAAACCATTCAAATGTGGTATCGCTGCACGGTCCGGAAGGGCGTGAGCGGGCCTGCCAAAAGAGTGACTCAGGTTACCACGCCCTGCGTCCATTTTCGGCTTCGTATTCGAGAAACAATGATGCCCTTCTTGGCACGCCGCTGGACGAGTCCCCGCCGTTATTACTTGCTATTGGACCGCCAAAGATGTCCTTTCTGGAAGTTAACTCGTCGAATCGTCCCTGGGTCTGGACCGGCTGAATGACTCAGGCCAAAACCACAGCCACCCAAGGAAGATGGATCTGGTGTTCCATCGGGAAATTTGCACGTGGACTCGTAAATGAGCTTGCAGTTTGCAGTTGTTGGGCGTGTTTGTTCCGTTTACTCCGTTTCTCGGTGTTGGACTGTTTGATTACGAATCGGGTCTACTCCGAAGTTGAACTCCGATGTCAAAAAGTGAACTCCGACAGCACGTTATTCCGAGTGAGAAGATCACTGCGCCATGGAAACACCCTCGAAAGGCAGTGAGATGAACGCATTTACAATTGGTTCAAACTCCAAGTCTTGATCCTTTGGAGATCAGGTTGCGTTATTTGTCTCCTGATATTTTCTGGGGCGGACCGAAAGGGAGCCCGACTGGCGGGATCCAGATTAGGGCTAGCGCTTGCAACGACTCCGATATGGGCCATGGCCCTGTCGGATCTTTCTCTATGAAAACAGATGTAGGATTTGCCCCAATATGTTTCATTTTTCTCCTAATATTTACCAAATCATGTGTGTTGAGAGGATATGCTGCCAGTAAATGTAGCGTGGAGTGGTGAGCTGGGAGTTGCACTTCTCGTTATCGTGTCATTTAATTGGCCAGTTAAGTAAATCAAACGTCTTAATCAGCAACTTTAATGCAAGACATAAGTTACACTAATTATGCATCTTATCAGCCAGGCGCGTTCGCGACGCGTCGACGATAAGTTGCAACTTCAACCAGTTGACCTTTCATCAATCCATAAGATATAATATGATTTAATGTTAGATGACGAATTCTTCGCCATTTAATCTTCCCTCATTCGATCCCGCCATCCTTCTACATTCCGAAAATCCTCAAGATATTCCCTCCGAGTCCTTCTCCGACGAGTTCGAAGCGTTGAACTTCGTCCGCTTGGAAAAGACCCGCAACCAAGTCGTGATCCAGCACCGAGCGTGGAATCTATCTGATGTTTTCTGTAGTGACGAGGACGTGAGACCGGGTATGAGACCCTCGCCAACATAAAGGAACACTTCTCATAATTCCAGCAGACACTCCAACAAAACCCCCGAAGGACTCTCGATTGCGAAGCGTGCTCTCCCCAATCCGTGAACAGGCATCTTTTCCGTCTTCGCCACCCACTCCCAAGATGCCGTTCATTTCCTCGCCGGTTGTGTTTCCGTCAAGTGCGCCTTCTCCGGACTCACAGAAACGGAAGAATGGTGAGAATTCACAGTTGACAGAGCCGAAGCGGCAGAAGATTATGGGCGGGTTTTTAGATGACGATGACGATGACGATGGGCTAGAAGCTTTCAATGAGGCACAGCTTCAGAGTCAGCTCAGCATCCAGGAACAACTTGTTGAGCTCCCTAAGATTCCCCAATCTCAGCCTTCCCTGGAGCCTGTGGCACCCGACAACCACGAACCCGAACGCAGAAATGTGGTGGATACGGCTCCTTCATCACCAAGGAGACCGCCTATGTCGGTTCAAATCAAAACTTGCGCTGGGAAGACATTGAATGTGCCTTTGAGGACATCTGGCGCCCGGGTGTCATACGAAAGACTTGTTGCTAGTCGGTCAACCACCGCCCCGGGAAGAGCTCAAAAGAGCTACTATGGAATTGATATCCACAGGCTACTCGATGAGTCTGCAAAGGAAATTGGGCGCACCGAAGCACCCAAATCAGCCCCTGCACCGGCAGTTCAGCCATCCATTGAAACTCCCATTGGCGATAAGAGAAGCAAAAAGCTCTCGACGGCCATGTGGACTGAGAAGTATCGAGCTCGCAAGTATACTGATCTCATTGGAGATGAGCGTACGCATCGATCCATCTTACGGTGGCTTAGGGGATGGGAGCCTATTGTCTACCCGGGTCTTGCTCGGTCCAAGCCGAAGAAGGCGAACTATAACAACGACGAAGAGGAAAGACCTCACCGGAAAGTTTTATTGCTCTGTGGCCCACCCGGACTGGGGAAAACAACCTTGGCCCATGTCTGTGCTAGACAGGCAGGCTACGAGTGCTTAGAAATCAACGCAAGTGACGAGCGTAGCAGAGACGTTGTGAAAGGGAGAATAAGAGACGCACTCGGCACAGAGAATGTCAAGGGAATGAATGTGGAAGTGGGTAACCAGAAAGTGCGCAAAGTTGGGCGACCTGTTTGCGTCGTTGTTGACGAGGTCGACGGAGTCGTCAGCGGATCTGGTGGCTCGGGTGAAGGTGGCTTTATGAAGGCCTTGATCGACCTAGTTCTCCTAGACCAAAAGAATTCCGCCCGCACGTCTGAACAAACGTCTGGTGGGAAGAAAAGAAAAGGCGACAACTTTCGATTTCTCCGCCCACTCATCCTGGTGTGTAATGATGTATATCATTCCAGTTTGCGGCCTCTGAGAACCTCTGCTATCGCGGAGATTGTACACGTACGTCAAGCGCCGTTGGAGAACGTCGTCTCCCGCATGAAGACTATTTTTACAACTGAAGGAATCCCTTCTGACAATGATGGGGTGAGACGACTGTGCGAAGCTTCCTGGGGCCTTTCAAAGAGAAAGCAACGTGGAGTGAGAAATACCGGTGCTGCAGAAGGAGATATCCGGAGTGTCCTTGTAGCAGCTGAGTGGGTAGCTTATAAGCTTCGAAGTGAAAGTTCTGCATCATTGAGGTTGACGCGAAGCTGGCTCGAGCAGCGTGTCCTCGCTGACCCTGGAGGTGGCTCTTTTTTCAAAGGCATGAACCGTGGCGGAGTGCGTGATATCGTGGACCGGGTCTTCACGGAGGGGGCTGGATTTCCAGACATGCCGCTCGGTACTGAATCCTTCCAGGATCCTTACGATCGCTCAGCAGAGGGACCTGCGGATGTTGCGGCCATTAAAAAGCGAAATGCAGTTAGCAAGCTTCGCGAGATGGTCGACGCCAGTGGTGATCATGATCGTTGCACATCTGAGTGCTTCGCTTCATATCCACTACTACCATATCAAGACGACACATTCCTCTCGAAGCCAAACGCTGCTTACGACTGGCTTCACTTCCATGACACTATTTCATCTAGAGTTTATTCCGCTCATGATTGGGAACTCGGGGCATATCTCAGCCAAGCAACATCGGCCTTCCACCTTCTCTTTGCGACCCCTCAAGGGAAAGCTCAAGCCCAATACAAAGAGACAGACGAGGAGGAAGAAGAGGCACACCCGTTCTCTGGACCAAGAGCAGACTACGCAGCCTTTGAAGCTCTCAAACAGAATCAATCCGTTTTATCTGGATTCCAGTCCTCCTTCTCCGCCCCCCTTCTCCGTCTCTTCCGTTCGCCAACCAACCTAGCCACCGAACTCATCCCAAATGTCATCCGAATGCTCTCTCCAGACGTCAAGCCAGTTGTCGTCCGCGGTAGCGAGCAAAAGAGCGTCGCAAGTGTTCGTAAGGAAAGCGAGCGCGCCCTCATTCAATCCGCCGTCCGCGTAATGGCTGGCCTAGGCGTGACCTTTGAGAAAGTCCGCATCGAGAACGAGGGTGGTGCCCATGGCGGATGGGCATACCGAATGGAACCGTAAGTCTATCCCCCACCTTTCCCCCATATCCCTCAAACCTAACCCAACCCAGTCCCCTCGACTCCCTCGTTACATTCGCCAAAGCACCTGGCATCTCCTCAACTACGGCCCCAGTCCGCTACGCCGTCCGCCAAGTCCTCGACCAAGAATACCGCAAGGAATCCATCCGCAAGAACTCCGAGGCCCTATCCTCTATAAAAACGAAGCCCAAGAAATCCTCTACTGACTCCCCCGCCGACGCTGCAAAGTTGAAATCCGGAAACGCGGTGAAGCGAGACTTCTTTGGCCGTATTATCGAGGAGCCACAGAAGCAGGATCAGGACCCGTCGGCGCAGGAAGGAAAACCAAACCCCGCGCAGCAGGAGGCTTTGAATGCGGGCCGTAAGGTTTGGGTTACGTATCACGATGGGTTTTCGAATGCGGTCAGGAAACCGATTTCGTTGACGGAGTTGTTGGGTGGGCTGTAGCCTACTAGTAACTCGTAATTAGTTTGGGAGAGTTACTTGGTGTATAGTTAGTATTATGAGTACTTACGTGAGCGTTGTTATTTCAATATACATATTTACATTGAGCATAAATAATTGATTGAGAATTGTTGGTGTATTTTCAACTCTAGATATACCTAATAGACAGTTGAAACATGGTATACAAATCAAATCAAGCTCATAAAACTATATCAAACAAAATAAGACAACCGATTCCAAACCCTCTAAGCAGACTTCACCTTCTCCGTCAACTCAGGCACCTTCTCAAACAGATCGCCAACGAGGCCAACATCCGCAACCTGGAAGATCGGTGCATCGCCATCCTTGTTAATAGCCGCAATCACCTTGCTGTCCTTCATACCAGCAAGGTGCTGAATCGCACCACTGATACCAACACTCAGGTACAGCTGCGGCGCCACATTCTTACCGGTCTGTCCAACTTGCAGACTGTTATCGGCGAATCCGGAGTCAACGGCCGCACGGGAGGCACCGATAGCCGCGCCCAGCGAGTCGGCAAGGGGAACCATGATGCGGTCGAATTCCTCCTTCGATTTAAGGCCACGGCCACCAGAGACGACACGTGAGGCTGTGGCGAGGTCAGGACGCTCGGACTTGGAGAGCTCCTCGGAGACCCATTCGGTCTGGGCGGGAGCGTTGGGGTCTGCCCCATCGGTGACGGAGGCGGAGCCACCAGTAGGTTCAGCATCTTGGAAGGCTGTGCCACGGACGGTGATGACCTTGATGGGGTCAGTGGATTGAACGGTGAGGATTGCGTTGCCGGCGTAGATGGGGCGGACGAATGCTACACGGGTTTCTGGTCAGCTCGGCTTGAAATGGAATCGCTTGGGAGATGACGACATACTGTCTTCGCTTTCAATGGCGGTGATATCGGAGACTTGTTGGACGTCTAGCAGAGCGGCGACGCGGGGAAGCAGACTCTTCCCGAAGGCACCGTGGCCTGCAATGATGTGTGTGTATTCGCCCTTCTTGATGTTCTCGACGAGGAGGGGGGCGTAGTTCTCGGGGAGGCCCTGGTGTAGATTGGATCAGCATTGATGCTCCCATTGAAGACTTATAGGAGTGCATTTAGCAGGTTATACCTTCTCGTAGGCCTCGCTCTCAACCGCAACAACTTTCTCCACGCCCTTGTACTTGGCCGCCTCGGCAGCCGAGGTCGCTTTCACGCCAGCTCCAGCCACGAACGCCGTCACGGGGCCACCCAACTTCAGAGCTGCAGCAATTGCTGAAACAGAAGATCCCTGGAGCTTGCCATCACGCTGTTCGAGGACTGCGAGGGTGGAGAGCAGGCGAGCGAGGGCAGACTGGTTGAAGGCGAAGGCAGCCCGGGTCGGTGTGAATTGAGCGCGGGCGGCGCGGAGGACGGAGGTTCTAGCTGCGAAGACCATTTTCGTGTATTTCCCTGCTCTTTGATTCCCTGTAGAGAAGAGCAAAGCAGGCGTTGACGGAATGCGAGTGGTGAGGGGAGATGAAGTTAAGGAACTCCGTCAGTGATGAAAGTTTGGAGGTCCGGTAGCGGGATGGTTATCGTCGGCCGCGCCAAGCACCCGCCGATCGGCGGATGGCCTCGGTTATAAGGCGGAAGTCTTCTGGCTGGTTAGCCATCTTGTGGCCAAATCGGCTGACGATTTCAAGATGCCGAGGATCTACGGAGTGGATGGCGAACTTCGAATTCTATACGGACCGATAATAGACATAATAATACGGCATTCGCCAGAAAATCCATGCATAATCGTAGGATTATAGTATGTATGTAATAGCCGATAATACAAGAACCCCCGTCAGGTTGAACTCCGTACAATAATAAATCATGAAAGGGACTTTTTCTTCTTCTTCGCCGGACCAGACGATACTTTGACGGCTGCAGCCTCTCCGTCTTCCAGCGCCTGGGCCTTCTGCTTCTCGAGCTTCTGTTTGCGGGCTGCTAGGGACGAGGCTTCATCGTCATCGTCGGCCTTCTTCTGCTTCCGAGACTTTTTGTTGCCTCCTTCTAAGAGCTTCTGGTCGCCCTCCTCAATCTGCTTCCGCTTCTTGTTCTGCTCGTCAGTTTTGCCATTTTCTACAGCCTCCACGACATCGGTCTCCTCCACCCACAACTCGCTCGCCAGCCAAATCGGCATCGCCATGGTGTTGGCTCCCTTGACATGAAGAGCCTTGATATTCCGCCACCCCTTCGAGATGAACTTATCAGTCAACCCCTGCACCACAGCCTCAATATTCTCAGAGAGCTGCTCAGGCGTAAAGTTCGACGATCCCACGCGGATCGCCGCAGTCGTAGCTGGCGCAAGCTGGACAGGTGCAGAGTTAAGCGCTTTCTCAACTTCCTTCGCAACAACAGCCGGGCTGGCAAACGCAGCGCCGTCATCCTCATTCTTCTTCTGCTTGTCGTCCTTCTTCACCCGCTTCCCATCAGCCTTCTCGATATGCGCAATCTGCACGGGAATCGGCCGCTTGCTAGACTTGTAGAAAACTTTCCCAAGGGTCTTGACCAGACGCATAATAATGCGATCATCAGCCAAGAACACATCGTGCTCAGAAAGCAGCTGTCTCCGGCTCTCAAAGCTCTTATACCTATCTTTCAACTTCGAGTACCCAATGACCTTCTCAATGCGCGAGGACAGATGCTCGGGGAATGACGAGTCGGCAACAATGTTCTTGACAGAACGCTGCGGGTCGGCGGTGATAAGACAGATGCTCAGCGCCGGCGACGCATTCAGCGAATGCGGGATGCTGATTTTGCCTGGCTTCAAACGGTTCTTGTCGACAACGTGCTTTTTCGTCGTGAACACGAGCCATACGGCTTCGTTGTGCAGAGGGGTATCTTCGGCTTCGGAGTCGGAATCATTATCACCAATCAGTGTCTTCTTAGTCGCGGTTGCTTCCCGCTCGGTCTGCTTTGATTTAATGTGTCGTAGGAGTGCAGATGAAGCTTTGGAAACCTAGAGGGAAAAGTTAGATACTGTCAAAGCAAGTTTTTGTCGAGGAATTGGTGATCGTACCTGGCTCTTGTCGAGCTGGTAAGGACTCCCAGTTGTCACCTTTGTGGTGAGAGCCGTTGATGAGCCCATTTTTGATTCTGTAGGGTGTTATGTTATTTCAGACAATTTCAACCGCCTCAAGATTCAGCGATATCGACCGATAAAAAAAAAGTCGGATCACAAAAGCGGTGAAGGTTTCTGCCTGTTGTTGCTTAGTCATTGTTCTAGTCATGTGACTTATCCGGCGGTTCGCTGCTGGTGAGGGGCATTTTGGACTGGTGCTGATATGATATAAAAACTTGTATTCCGAGGCTAGTGGACATGGATAACTGTAATTTGGTGTGCTAAATAATGCGAATGTATGCCAGTTAGAAAGGTTAATAACTTGGCGGTCATTGAGCGGTCATTGAGCTTTCGGTTGTCGATGTATATATAAAATCAATCGGTGTATACTGTATAATAACATTTTTCTAAAGAAAACCTAAACTTCCAATAAATTTCACCTGCGGTTCGAATGTTATTCCTCGCCATATACAACCACATATCAGACAACCAGAGAGCTACAAGGACAAACCATCGCCCCAGCGGAGGAGGCAGAAGCCGCTTCATCAGTATTGTGGAAGGGATGGACTCGCCAGGCATTACTGTGGCTAACTGGGTTACATCAAAATTTCTAGGCGCTCATCTCTCGAAGCTCCAGAGTCCAGACACCTTGTTCCCTTGAAGCGGGCAATAATCCGCGGTGATGTGAGAAGTGTCGGCCAAAACAACGATGGAAACATCCACGAGATTCGAAGGATCTGATAATTCAAACTTCGGGGAAACTCCTGAATGAAGGAAGGCGAGGAGCGGGGTTGAAGCTTTCACTCACCACCCGGCTCAGCTATACTCGTACGGCGTCGAGACTAACGAAGTAATTTCCGGAGATTCGTGGACAGAGACGGCAGCTGCCAGACGGCAGCGACAGACGAGAATTGAGCCGTCGACTCAGTGGCTTGGAAAGCTTGTTCAAAGGTTCTGCCTACGCTAGCGGAAATGATGCACAGTGCTTGTGGATCAGGTGGGTGGCGATCATCTCCTTAATTATCATGTAGTACGTATTGAATATTGATGCAAAGGTCTCGACTTGGAGATGGGGCCTATGCTTTCTTTGTCGAGCACAAGCCTGCAAGAGTTGAAAGAGACCAGGAGTTGAGGCTGGCTATTGAGGGTGGCCGGAGACAGGTCCGGACAGCTCTATCGGTTGTTGATGCAGTCGGCGGATGGAGTATTTGGTTGTCCTTGGTACCTTGAGTTACGTTAGCTCGAGGCCAAACTGTAGAGACCCAGAATTTTTCTAATGGCGTTAAAGCCTGGACTGCAGTGCGATCAACTGAAGAAATTAGGCGTTCTTGATGATTGGGCGATGGATATACTGCTGGTTTTAGCCTGCAGAATATTAATGCAGATGTCGAGGTTATGAATGTGTGGACTCCAAGAGGTCCACTTCACGTCTGATTGATATCCAAAATGTTCTCCTCATCGCCATGTCTACGGAACCTGAGTGTGAACAATCTGCCAAATCTTAAAACGATCAAGACCTGACAACACGCGGCCGCCGCGGAGCCGAAGAATCTTCCGGCGCATCAAGGGTTAATACCACGTCGCATCCCTATGCTGCTGGTAACAATGAAGAATGCCATCTTGCAGCGTCAAGAAACAGAGGAAGGGGCTGAAATTTATACTGCACAGCGTCGATACGGCGAGAGCGGAATAGCGATGCATCCGCAATGTAAAGCCAACAGGAATGGCCCACATAAACTGCATGAGGCTGGCTCCTCACAGGCTGCGTCTTTTCTGAAACCCTCGACTCAAGTGCCGGATTTTTCGTGTTCAAACAAAGCCGCCAACTACGGACGTAGTCGGATTTGTGTTCTGCGAAAAGGCACCCGGGGATTCCGATCTTGAACTTGCGGAGTCGATATTGGAGGTCTTGGAATGTGCTACGAGCTTCCCGTCGAACCTTAATCCAGCCTCGAACACCACAGACTGTACCATGAGTTCAAGGTTTGGTCACTGCTGACTCGACATGCGCTTTCTTACTCGTGGAGAGTTGGAAACTGGTTTGTTTTAATCCCAACGTGCGCGGTTGATGTCATGTGCAGGGATGAGACAGAGGGACTGGGGGATCGCCGAGGAGAACGAACCTCGGGAGTTGCAAAATTGCAAATGAAACAGACCAAAGTTGGAGGAGCGTGACGGCTGCTGATTGGCTTGCCCCTTAAAAGCAGATGGCAAAAAAACCACATCCCCACAGTTGAGTGCTCATAACAGACACCCATTGGCCGACAGTCCGCTGTGCTAATTTCGGAAACGCCAAGCTAAATTTCAGGAACAGGAAGTCCAAACATAGAAAAAAGGTGTGTATTTTCACAGTGAGCGGCGCCCTGGCAGACGGGCCCAGATGCTGTACCAAGGCGCCATATCAGTCTCGCCCTCGTACTAAGAGGATTTGCGTACAAGATTGCCGAATGCGAGCCCCAGTTGTGGGTTTCAGGGTGGACTGTCCCGAAGATGCAAAGACGGGCTCAAAACAAACAGCCTGCGAGAGCTGTCGGCGGGTGGTGGCCACGTCGGCCTCCCCACTCCTGACTGCAAATGATCATAGAGCAGCTGGTTCCATGGATAGTGCTGCTGAAGGGAATTGGGTTTCTGCCTTCCTTGGTAGCGGCCGCGGTACTTGGCGTAAACCCACGGATTGAGGCGCCCACGCCGGTGATTGAGATGGGACCTTGACCAGGGGATGCAACGTCTTTTTCCCTTCATTCTTTGAGGACGGAGTATCAAGTAATTAAAATGACGGGCCAGTGAGCCGCGAGCAGGAAGGCCATGTCTCGAATCGAGCAGTGGAACCCCTGAGTTGACTGGGCAGATTTAGTGCGAGTGGATTGATTGTCATTCGCCGTCCAGCCGGGGCCACACGCAACGCCCACCCTCAGTCTGCCAGGGCTCCTTTTCACGCTTGCCCCCTGGCAGTCAATCCAGCCAATTCAACGCCATTCTATTCCTTCTTTCGTTCCCATTAAGGTTCTCCCTCCTCAGCGTCTCCTTTCCTCAAAACCTCCCCTGCCTCCCTCCATCTTCCTCAGCCTCCCCGACTGTCTCTCACGATTCGTCCCCACGGCTATTGTCCACCCTTGAGCTTTCCCATCCGACCAGAGAGACTCGTTTCTCTTCGTACATTCATTTGGAAGCCTCGTTTCTTTTCTGAAGACCTCTACTTCGCATCTCGGCTCCACCTTACTAAACAACGCGCGAACGAGTTGCCATAAAATTGATGTACGTCGCTCATATCTAGTGTTGATGTTATGCGTGTTGTGTTGTTTCTCCCCCCCAAGCCAGTGGTATCGGCGGTTACGGATGCTCGATCCCACCTGGGCATCTATACCGCATGTGCTTGTCCCGGCGATTTGGGTAGTTGATCGCAAAGACACACCGAGGCGGCTGACCACACTGGAACCTTGATTTATTGGTAATGGTGTACTGACTATTTGCAGCAATTGGTTAGATATATTACCATTTCTGTGATTTATACAAGATGAAGTACTCTTTCGCCCTCACCCTGGCCACGGCCGGGTCCATGGTTGCTGCCCAGCACCAGCACCACCACCGCCACCAGCACCACAACAAGCGTGAAGTTGCTGTTGTTGATGGCCCTACCGTCACCGAATACATGCTCGATGGCAAAGTCATCAGCGCCAAGGACGCCTGCGCTGGTATCAAGGATGGTACTTATGCCTTCAACGACCCCCAGCCCGAAGTCGATCCTTGCCAGCAGACTTACACTCCTACCGTTGCCCCGGCCAAGTTCATTGAGACTTCGACCTCTACCTCTTCTTCGACCACAACCACTAGCTCCACCACCACCACCCAGAGTGCCCCGACAACCTCTTCCACCACTACCCAGGCTCCTACTAGCACTAGCAGTTCCTCTTCTTCCGGTGCTACCGGCTTGGATGCACCGTTCCCTGATGGGGAGCTTGACTGCTCAACTTTCCCATCCGATTATGGTGCCATTGCTGTTGACTACCTCGGCCTTGATGGCTGGACTGGTATCCAGTCCCTCAACTGGGTCAATGGAGTTCTCGGCAAGATCGACACTGCAGTCCAGGGCGGATCTTGCGGCTCGGGCAACATGTGCTCGTACGCCTGTCCCGCTGGTTACCAGAAGTCCCAGTGGCCCGAGGAGCAGGGAAGCTCTGGTGAGTCTATTGGTGGAATCCAATGTAAGGGTGGCAAGCTTTACTTGACAAACAAGAAGCTTTCCGACAAGCTTTGTATCCCTGGTGTGGGTGGTGTTGAGGTCGAGAACACTATTGGCGAGCACGTCGCTGTGTGCCGCACTGACTACCCTGGTGAGTCTTATGTTATCTAGAAGTACAGGTTGTGCTTTTGCTAATATGGATGAACAGGTACTGAAGGTGAAACCGTTCCCCTCAGCCTTAACAGCGGCGAAACCAAGGAATTGACTTGCCCCGACGGCGCGACTTACTACAACTGGGAGGGCAAGACCACCTCCGCCCAATACTATGTCAACCCTGCCGGTGTTTCGACGGAGAAGGGTTGCCAGTGGGGTGACGGCACCGGTAACACCGGTAACAGGGCCCCCATTAACCTCGGTGTCGGTGAGAACAATGGCAAATGGCTCTCGATCTTCCAGAACTCCCCTACCACCAACGCGAAGCTCGACTTCAACATCAAGATTGAGGGTGACAACCTTAGCGGATCCTGCAAGTACGAGAATGGTCAATTCATCTCCGAGACCGGATCCAACTCGGACGGCTGCACGGTAAGCACTCAAGATTTGACCTGTTTTAATCGCGATGTAGACTAACAATCTTGCAGGTGCAAGCCATGTCTGGCAAGGCCGTCTACAAGTTTTACAAATAGAGCCGTCACGATTTCGGTGCGTTCAGCGTTGAATGACCTACTCTACCGGACCAGGCAAATTTGCAAATAGAAGACCCTCCATGCCTGTTCGGTTTTGATACGTATGCTCTCATCTTGACTTCTTTTGTATCTTAGTATATTGTGTCATATGACTTGAAGCCGTGGTTGCCTGCCATTTTTCCACTTCTCGCCCCTTGGTTCAATAGATCGGGGCCTATTTGTGCTTATTTACCTTCTCTGCTGTTAAGTAACTTAAATTTCCTCTTATGTACAAATTTTTAATGCTTTCGTACGGGGGCTAGACCGGGTTATATGCTATTTCGTAAGCTTGTCAACGAGCATGTCTTTTGGGTTGGGACCATCACTTTTCGTATACTAAACCGGCCAAGTCTACAAAGGGCCAACTTAACTGTGCTCGCTGCTGAGCGGGCTTGGGCCAATATTAATGGTTTCAAGTAGGCTGGCGAAATAGCCAGGCACTGAAATTTCTCGCGTAGAGGTGGGGTAGACTATGTAGCAAAATCATTATGTCGAGACTTGAGTGACGACATCAAGCATTCCAGCTAAATGTCATGACCAGCGTGTCGAGGCGCAATGTTGCAATACGTAAGACCTGGTTTCCAAGCCCTCCTTGGCCGATGCAGCAGTAGAAGAATTGTGATGGGCAGCTTCATTCTTGCCCCCGGCGTCGGCGTCGGATTTTAAATTGCCTGCGTGGCTCCCGGTAAGTTACCTCGATTCTTGTCACAGGCGCGTCGCGTCGGGTAACTTGTATACAAGCCCGCCTTTACGTGACGGCCGCGGGGCGCACACTTGGCTGTTCAGGATCGGACAGGAACACCCAACAACTTCAAGAACCACTATAGAGAGCTACGTCCATTTAATTGCTTCTTGTAAATAACTAATTTTAGACATTGTAAAGAGACGTTTTTCCCACTTCATGTCAACGCAAGGAATAAAAAGAGAGCCAATCACAAGCTCATTTTGCGCAGCAGCACATGGCCCGTTCGCCATGCACGGACCAGGCAAACGCGCTCACGTGATCTGGCGCGACTCAAGTCACGAGACCCGGCCCCAAAAAACGCGAGGCACCTGACCTCGAACGCGCCTTGCTGAAGTATACCAGAGGTCGAGCTGAAAGAGGCAGGGTGTGGGATGGTATTTATTGTCGAGATCCTGTGTCATTCCGTCGCTGAATCGCAAATATGCAGTGCAATGCATAGTTCCTGATGATTTGGCTGAGGGATGCGCGCACTGAGTGTGGAGCAGGGCCGGCGCCTATCGAACGCGTCTCGATTCTCCAGCTTGTAAGCGTGCATTTCCGCGCTGGCAGGCTCAGACTCGCCGTTCCGCCAGGGCATTCCCATTCCAATTCCACTACGCACACCATCCTCTCCCTCCCTTTTTCTCTCCAGCGCTCGTTCGGTCTTTTCTGTAGACTCTTTTCGTGTCTCCCAACCTCCTGGTCGTCATCTTGGGTAGGGAAGCTACTAACAGGGCTCTCTTCCTTCCTTTTCGTCCTTAACCAGCTTCCTGTCCTGTCTCTCCTTGCTTGTTTTTTTTTTGCCCTCTCGTGATAAGAGTAGTGTCTTTTGCCCTGTCCTCGACGCGAACTCAATCGAGTCTCAAGTCTCAACTCACCCTCTTTACTCTATATTTGTCCAAAGGTCTGTTGGTCGTTTTCGAGACGTGTGTTTTGTACCATGGAGTCTTCTCCTCCGAGGAGCAACTCGGTTGCTTCTGTGGCAGGCGTGAAGCGTCCAGCGTCTCTACTGCCTGCTTTTGAGCCATTGAGCTCGTCCCCTTCTCTTCCTCGACCACAGAAGCGTGTAGCACGCGAAGATGAGCGTGCCATCTCGACCTATCCCACTCCCGTCCCGACCTCGTCCACCCACATCATGTCGTCTTCGCCTCCTCGGATGGCCCTACCTAATTCCTCATCACGCCGTAACATTCCCTCCGCCCTCTCCGAACGAAGCCCTCTGTCCGCCGTCCCTACCCTGATGCTCTCTGAAAGCGGCGAGCCTCTTACAATGGGAAGATCCAGTCTTTCTTGCCAATACCAGCTCGCTGCCAACCGTATGATCTCGAGAGTGCACGTGAAGGCTACCTACAAGGCTGCCCCCAACCCTTTCGACCGTGACAGGGTGGAGATAATGTGCATGGGATGGAATGGAATTAAGCTTCACTGCCAGGGCAAGACATATGATCTGGCCAAGGGGAAGACATTCACGTCAGACATCAAAGATGCTGACATCATGATCGATGTCCACGACTGCCGCGTTCTGGTCCAATGGCCACGCGGTGACAGGAAGGAAGATGCGTCTACTGACTCGGAGCAAACATGGGAGGAGGCTACGCCAACACGAAAGAAGCAAGCTCGCCGGAGTCTTCAAGACAGCCCCAGTGCTGAGCGTCAACGCCTGGCCTCTCCTGTCTCTCCATCCCCGGCCGCCAAGTCCATGATACCCCCTTCGTCGCCTCTGTATACTCCTACCCGCTCCCGGAATGCTGTTGTTGTGTACGAGGATGAAGCCTCTCCAGTTCGCCGCAGTAGCTCTGGTGAGGCGTTGAATGCATCTTCAAATGTTGCGTCCCTTCAGAGCTCGCAGTCCAGTGACCTGAGCGACTTGAGCAAGCCTGAGGACTTATCAGACCATGACGAGGAAAATGACCCCATCATTCACTCCTTTGGCCCATTCGGTGACAACTTGCTGCCGCGCATGGCTTCGTTTTCTGCCGCCGACTCGCCTCTACGGCCCACGCGCCCTCGAGCTCACTTCCAAGGCCAACCTCTCCAACCCGCTCAGTCCCCGAGACAGCCTTCGAAACCTTTTGAACAACCTGCCGAAGACACAATGAACAAACCAGTGGCCCTGGATGAGGCTTCAGAGGTTGTTCAGAACCACGCCGTCAACCAGCTGGCTTTCTCCCGTCTTTCATCTACCCCTTTCTCCACCATCCTGGACAATCTTCCCGTTTCCCTCTGGAAGGCAGATAGCCAGTCTCGTCACGGGCCCTCAAGAGACGAAATCAGGGTAATCTTGGATTCTACGAAGTGCATCGGGAAGGTTGCACGTGAAGGCAAGGATGCTGCTGGCAAGCCACTCGAGGCTGAATACTATTACATCCCCGACTTTGATGACGATGAACCACGTCGCGAGGCTGTCGTGAGGGACCTGAGAAAGCCCGGACTTCGAAATTGTCGGAAACAACATAAGGTATGCCCTCTATTACTACCCAGGACCCGGCTATGGTTGACACGAATAGCAATATTTCTGGCGCAAACCGAAATAAATATGAAACAATTCAACAAGTATAATATCCCGACATGCGATTCTGTTCTCAGTACATACTTATCCCATAGTTTTGGGCTCCAGTCAATTCCCTTTTTGTTCCTTTCTCAAGGACTGCATAGCGTGGCGTGGGCATACCCAGTCTGACTTTTACGTTTTTATATGAAGGTGTATGATGTATGGAGGTTTGTTTCAGTTTTTCTTTTTACTTGTTACCCTATCTTATCTGGAGGTGCCTTGTATCCGTCTTTGTACAATGTTGTATGCCCAGTCGGCTTGAGACTTGGCCGTGATGCTGTCAATTGCAAACACTCATTGGGCATCAACGGCCTATTGATACCAGCGCCTAACGATGCTCGGTGGGCATAGTATACTTCACTTTTGGACATAGTTATGATCTGTATGTTACTATTTGATGGAATAAAAGCTTTACCTTTTTGATTTGTCGTTTTTACCAGCCCGTCCATGGACCGAGCAGTATTAGGGTTAGTTACTTTATATACGATTACCTAAGATAAAGCTGTGGGTTGATCAAGCTTTTCGCGCACGTGACCACATCGTTCTCGTTGACCCGATGTGGATTAGCGGCGTCGGGCTTGACGTTGTTTCCATTTGTAAAAGGAACGGGAATTTTAGGTAGAGCAGGAGTGGAAGGGAGAGAGGCAGGTATATATTGGAGTAGTAGGTGCCGGAATGCAACGTCTATTGGGTGTTATATTCTTTCCTCGTTTTCTGTTTGATTTCTGTGACTATAAGGTGTGCCCTCTCCTCTACTACTCTACTTTCTATTAGCTATAATTCTGAGAAACATGACGGTTACCACTACGGACTACGTCGTCACGGACAGATGTGGAATTGTTGAGAACCGGCACCAGGTGCACGCTTCTGTTACTGATGCCACGGGGAAGCTCCTGTTTGCCGTTGGCGATCCCTCACGGATGACGCTGGCTCGGTCAGCCGCGAAACCTGCACAGGCACTTGCCATCCTTGAGACCGGGTGTTTTGAAAAATTCCCGGGGTTTGATGATGCCGATCTCGCGCTGATGTGTGCGTCACATAACAGTGAAGAGAGGCACATTCGGCGCGCGCAGGCGATGTTAAAACAGATCGGGGCGGGAGAAGATGATCTTCGATGTGGTGGGCATGCTGCGCTTTCGGATGCCGTTAATCGGACATGGATCAAGCAGGATTATGCCCCTACTGCAATTAGCAACAATTGCTCTGGCAAGCATGCTGGGATGTTGGCTGGGAGCCAGGCAGTTGGTGCTGGATTCGTGGGTTATGAACTCCCCGACCATCCCATGCAATTGCGGGTTAAGCAGGCTGTCGAGGAACTTAGTGGGCTGGAAGGGGATATGGTGAAATGGGGAATCGACGGGTGTAATCTCCCGGCTCCGGCATTGCCATTGCAGAATATGGGCAAGATGTACGCGGCGATTGCGGCTGCGGCAGATGCAGTGGGTAAGAGTGACGGCCTGTCAACGAGGACACGGGCTTCAAGCCGGATCTTCCACGCTATGTCACAGTATCCAGAGCTTGTTGGCGGCCATGGCCGATTTTGCACCGAACTCATTCGGGGATTCCAGGGGGCGCTTATTGGGAAGCTTGGTGCTGATGGTTGTTATGGCATTGCGATACGGGCGTCGGAGCAGACAAAGAACCTGGGCGCAGTCGGGGCGATCGGGATTGCGGTCAAGATAGAGGATGGGAACATTGGGGTGCTTTATTCGGCGGTTATGGAAATTCTCGAAAGGCTTCAAATTGGTACGCCGGAAATGCGCCTGAAGCTCGTTGCTTTTCACCAGCCTGATATAGTGAATACCGCTGGTGTGGTGACGGGAGGCTATTCCCATCTGTTCGAGCTACGGCGTGTTTGATGGTGGCGTTGCATGGTGGCGACTAGGCAGATAGTGATGGAGCGGTGGTTCTGAGGTGATGTGTTCACAAAAGTTGCTATTTAGTACTATTTAAGGTTTGGTCAAAAGTGAAAGTAAGAGAGTAGTGAGGAGTTTCAAGAGTGAAGACTTGGAAGGAAGTGAAGGCAGTCGGAGATTGGGCCGGCACCAAGATCTAATTAACCTCCGCCGCCTTCGCCCTCGCCCGCATTTCTCCCCACGGCTTTTTAGCATCGTGCAACATCCCTTGACCTGACCGCACTCAGGCAAAACCCAGACGTGGCGCCTTTATTATCCATTGATTTTCCCCAATGTGGCGTTCAAGTCACTTCCACGATTTCCTTTCCGATTTCTTAATACCAATACACGACAGCTGAATTCGTCACCGCGGGGATTGCTACAACGCACTGGGCGGTAAGAGATGGATCGGCAGAGAAAGCGTAAGACTTGGGCTCATTCATCTCGCATGAGGTCGGCGATTCTGGTGTCTGTTTCTAACACTGTCGATATGCAGGGGAAATTCGCAATCTTAACGAGCGAGTCTGGGCTGGTGAGAGTGGTATGGCTGCCGATTTCCTCCTCACCACACTCCATCTAACCGATAACATCATTTATAGATGTTTTCCCTGTCAGCAAATCTCTCGATTCGTCCTTGAAAAAGAATACGGCCTTCATCAAGCGCCTTCGTACCGGAATTAATGCCGCCGCTCAGCAAACCCTGCTGGCCGACATTCGCACGCTGTCCCTCCATAAGTACCTCTCGGAGATCATTTCAGCCTGTTATGAGGGATTATGCAAATTAAAAACCCCGGGAGAAATTGCCGCCGGTGTTGAAATTACCAGTGCCCTTCATCAGCGATTTGGCCCCGCGGAGTTTACGCGACAGATTGGCTGGCTGTTAGGACGTGGTCTTAGCTCACCGGATAAAAGTCAGTTGAAGTCTCTCAGCCAAGAATTGCGTGAGCGCGAGGAAAAAGAGCGGCTGTCTCGCCATCGAGTGTTGTTGAAGGTTGTGACGGAACTGTGGCTAGTTTGCGTACTGAGAACTCTGGATGATGTTGAACGACCGGAAGATGTGGGCGCCAAGGGCAAGGATGGCACTGTTGGCCTGGGAAATAAAGTAACAGATGGGGTATCGAGAAGCAGAAATTCGACAGGTGATAAGGAGACGGATCCGTTTCCCTTGGAGGTTCTGAAGGATCTTCTTGGGCATGACCGTGATCATTCCAATCTGCCGCTGGCTGTGTTATTTGCGAAGAGTTTTAGCTGGGATATATTGGGTGTCAAGGGTGCTGAAGAGGGTAGGAAGACGGTTGAGGTGGACGGAGCGACGACGAGCACGCCTACCGACACTCAGAATGGTGCTGAGAAGGGAGAGGAGATGGCGGCCGAGGATGACGCACCGCTTACTCCGGAAAAGACCCAACTTCGTTTCAAGAGTATATTGAACAGATACTTGGAGGACGTCAAAGCGCACGTTATGCGTGACCAGAAAGCGCTCACCGCACAGAGCCGCCGCAACGCCGAAGCCTACGTCAAGAGTGGTGAAATATTTGAGGATCGACAGGCAAATTTTGAGAGGCAAACCAAGTCGCTGGAGAAGCTGGTTACAAACACGCAGACTCTCTGCGAGATTCTGGGAGTAGAAATGCCCGCCTTGACTGAACAGGAGGCTTCGGATCCCTCGTCAAGTGGCGGAATTGGTCTGGTGAAAACTTCAGAATACCTCCGAGGCCAAGGGGAAGGAGCTGGAATCTGGGAGGATGAAGAAGAGAGACGCTTTTACGAGAACCTTGTTGACATGAAAGGCAAAGTTCCAGCTGTTCTGTTGGATGATGGCAAGAAGAAAAAACCAGAAGCTGGAGAATCGACTAAGAAAAAGGAAGGTGAAGCTGGTCCTGATTCAAGCATGGAGAATACCGAGTCTCAAGCTCAGCCTCCAGACGAAAAAGTCGCCGAAATTGATGATCAGTCGATGGCAATTGCAAGTAAAACCGTCGGAGCCCAGGTGGATGCGCTTTTGGCCAAGCTGCCCGATTTGCAAACCAAAGACCAAGTCGATCAGATGGCGCTAGATTTCTGCTTCCTAAATTCGAAAGCGTCTAGGAACAGACTAATCAAAGCCGTTTCTGATGTTCCGAAGGGACGTATCGACCTTCTGCCTTTGTACTCGCGTCTCGTTGCAACGCTCGGGCAGTATATGCAGGACATACCTCAGGGTTTGACTACGTATCTTGACGAAGAGTTTCGCAGTCTTCAGCGCCGGAAGTCCAAGGAGTTCCTCGGTCAAGTGCGAATGAGTAATATTCGCTACCTTGCAGAGCTGACCAAGTTTGGAGTCGTGCCTGAGCATATCATTTTCCACTGCTTCAAAGTCTCCCTGGATGATTTCTCACGCATGAACATCGAGATTATTGGTCACCTTCTAGAGAACTGCGGGAGATACTTGTTTCGGAACCCTGATACATATCCGCGGATGGCATCCTTCTTGGAGACGCTCGGACGAAAGAAGATCGTTCAGCACCTAGGCCAGCAAGAGCGTATGATTATCGAGAACGCTGTCTATTACGTCGACCCACCCGAGCGACCTGCGATTCAGCAAAAAGAAAGGACACCGATGGAGTCTTATATTCGCAAACTTATCTATCTGGATATGAACAAGCGAAACTATGCTAAGGTCCTCAAATCGATCCGCAAGCTTCACTGGGAAGAGCTGGAGGTGGTCAATATCCTAGAGCGTGTTTTTAGCAAGCCGGCCAAGGTCAAATACGGCAATATCCACCTTCTTGCAATCCTTGTTAGCGCTCTATACCGGTATCACCAGGGGTTTGTGATTGGAGTTGTGGACAATATTCTGGAGCACATCACTTTGGGCCTTGAGCAGAACGATTTCAAGTTCAACCAGAAGCGCATTGCGGAGGTCAAGTACCTTGCGGAGCTGTACAACTACAAGATGATCGACTCTCCTGTGATATTTGATACACTGTATCGGATTATCACATTTGGTCATGGTGCGTCTGGTTTGATTATTTTTTTATCCCCTCGCTAACCGTTTTACAGAAGGCGGCACCCCAATACCGGGAAAGATCAACGTGCTGGACTTGCCGGATGATTTCTTCAGGATCCGTTTGACTTGCCAGCTTCTGGATACCTGTGGCCAATGCTTTGACCGGGGTTCTGCAAAGAAGAAGCTAGACTTTTTCTTGAAGTTCTTCCAGTACTACATATGCACGAAAGAACCTCTGCCGATGGACATTGACTTTCTTGTCCAAGACACGTACTCCTCGACCCGCCCCCAATGGAATCTAGTTACCGATCTTGATGAAGCTAGCCGCATTTTCGGCGAAGCGGTGGCCCAGAACTTCAAGCCTCAAGAGGAGAAGCCAGAACCAGAGGAGGAATCCGAGGATAGCGCATCCGACGAGGACTTGGAGGAGGACGCAATCCCAGAGGCCGAAGACGATGCGGAGTCAAGTGATGAAGCTGATGTAAGTGAAAATAGCTTATCTGGTAGAGTTTATGCTGACTGAGTAGGCGTCCCCGAATGCCGAGCAGAATGTTGAGCAGAACGACGACAGCGAGTCGGAAGAGGAACAGATTTTTGTCACTCGTCAAGAAGAAGAGCGCGATCCCGAGGCAGAAGCAGAGTTCGACCGTGAATTCGAGAAAATGATGGCAGAAAGTGTTGAATCGCGGAAGTTTGAACGCAAGGCCGTATTTGATATCCCGCTACCGATGAAGCGAGCTCCTCGTGATACTGCTGTCGATACTCCAGCTCCTGCTCCAGCTCCAACCCCTGCCCCTGCCGCCACTCCGGCTCAACCATCTGGGAACACAATGGCGTTCTCTTTAATGACCAAGAAAGGAAACAAGCAGCAAACCCGCACTATCGATTTGCCGTCCGACTCCACATTTGCTGTCGCCATGAGAAGCCAACAACAGGCGGATAGAGAAGAGCAGCAGCGAATCAAGAACCTTGTTTTGAATTATGAAATGACTACCGAGGCTGAGAACACCGAAGGTGAGTTACTTCAGTTCGCCCTTTACTTCAGGGAAGCTAAGAAAAGCAGAAACCGTCGAGAAACGCTCCGCCACTCGAATCGACAGATCTGGCGCAAACCGATCAGTTAACCGTTCTCGCAAGCTTCAGCTCAGTGACGTCAATTGGTAGCGTGCAACTGCATATTCATATTAGGAGCCCACCTACCAACAGGCCCGATGATCGGCTGGACCCTGGCCTTCCAACGGCAGTAGGGTCCTCCGACATACTTAACGGGTCTATCTCCAAATACGATGAGCACGTGCGAAAGCAGCCAGTCAGTCAGACCACTTGTATAGGCCGAATGATCCTTGGGACGGAAAGTTAGAAGGAAGAAGAATCCACCCGTTCTCACCCGTTCTCAACGGCTCATTTGTCACCCATCCATCGCCTTCCATGTCTACCCTCTTCATTCGCCAGCCGCCGCCTTAGACAAATATCGATGTTTGGCTGGTTCGTGTTGGGCCTGGGGCAGAACCGGGATCTCTTGGCTTTAGTGAGTGCGAAATAGTGCTACAGATCGTACCCCATCATCATGTCTAGTGCAGGTCGGGCACGAACGATAGTTGAGATCCATACCGAATCTGCCTTAGCTGGTCTGCCCTGCCAACAAGATAGATGGATACGTCATGTATACTGTATTATGCACCAGACACTGCTACCAAGTACGAGTTAGTACTAGTACGTGCTTGCACACATAAAATCAGCATCAGAATGATACTTCGTGTTTACTATGAATTTTTTATATACTTATTCCTGAAATGTGCTTTAGATTAGTAGTAATGCCATTGTAAACTTGAGTAGTGTTCATATAATTTGCTACACCTACAAGTTCTAGTCTACACCGAAACCAACAACTGAAGGCCCGGAAATATAGTACAAAAACTCGCTCTATAAAAAATCTATTTTGTCTCTTCCGAACAGAACGTGACATCACGAGCACGCCCAACCACAGCATAGAAGTACATGAGTAGGGTAGTTACATGGAAGGAAGGAGAAAAACCAAATAGTGTAGTGGCGTCAGGGGGAAAAAAAATAGAATGGCTGGAATGACATAAGAAAAGAGGACGATATAGGAAACGGATAAATCACAGAGTATATCACCAATCTAACCTAACGTCTTGGTGGCATTAGTAGCGGTTCTGGTGTCATTCGTTTGGAAAGAAGCTAATGGTGTTGAAGCGGGATATATGATCGATTGAATTTAGGTTTCTCGCCCAACTGCCCATTCTCTCTAGTCGAGGCAGGGGGTTGGTTGTGCCTCTCCGGTTTGTAACTTCAGAGGCCCAACGGGAAGATGAATTATTTATTTCTCCGTCTGCTGCTCGGGCTTCTTCTCGCCTTCTGACTCGTGCCACGCCTTTGGGATGACTTCGTCAGATTCGGCCACTTCGCCGACAGACTTTACTTCGTCACGAGCCTGCTTGGCGAGTTCGCGCTTCTCATCGGGGGTAGCAGAGGGCTCAGCCTGTGTAACTGGCGGTTGCTCAGCGTTGGGCTCGACACTGGGCTCGTCGTCATCTTCGAGTTCGGCGCCGTAGACGTCAGGGTGCTGTCGGAAGCAATCTTGCATGGCCCTGTCGTCAATCCGTTAGTAGCCTATAACAAACAAGTGCAAACCACCCTTCACGAGTGTTTAAATGATCTCGAAAACGTACTTGAACTTATCGACGCAGTCAATTCCCTTGGGTTCTTCTTCCGAGTAAACGAAGCAGCTGAACGCAGCTCTGAAATCCTCCCCGCAAGGGCCATAGGCCATTCCGCCGAGACAAGGGCAGTCCCAGTTGATCTCGCCAGTATCCGGGTTGAACGCAGCCTCCTGGCTAGCTTCTTCCTCGAGCTCTTCAGCGGACTTCAGCTCATTGTTGTCTGACGTTGGTGCGGCATCGGGGGCAGCTTGGGCGGGAGCGGAGCGGGCCTCCTCTTTGCGCGACTTGGGCTTCACAGAGTCGAGCGTAGGCAGAGCTTTCTCGTCTTCGGGCTTGGGTTGGGGCTTAGAGCGGAAGGAGACTGTATGGTTTTTCGAAATGGGTTTATTAGCTTGCGTCAACTGGCGGGATTATTGAGAAGAGATTTCGGGGTTACGCACGCGATGGGGTCTCGGCGAATACGCTGCTTGTGTTGTAGTAGTAGATAGCCCCGCCAGCCAGTCCCAACCGTACAAAGGTATTCTTCCAGCTTCTTGACTTTGTTCCTGTTGGTGTCGTGCTTATAAATCGGCGAGTCGGACCGCGCGCAACAGGTGGTGCGCGAAGGAGCGCCCTAGATGCGGGTCTGAACATGGTGGGTGGACAGTGGGGGAAGGGTGAGAGAAAAATAGAGAGGATGGAAGAGGGCCCAAACTAGAGAAGAGAGGGAGTCATGAACGAGAGAGAGGAGGCCAATTGAGGGGAGGATCGTGAATAATGTTCGAGAACGGGTGTGAGCGGAGAGTCGGGGAAGTCGAAGTCTGCCGTTGTCGCCTGAGGCATGAGTATTTCTGCCTGAATCGTGCCATCCAATCACGTCCAGGCTATATAGTTGGGCGGCTGCCAACGATCACCAACACAAGCAGACGACCTACATGCTCCAAAGGATAACACTTACACCAAAGAAACCATGGCTTAGTTTATCTTATTTTATTTGCATTACGAACTCCTAGCTCCGTTGTGAGCTATACCGGTCAAAACAATGTCACCTCGCCTTTTCCTTATCACCCACCGCAACTTCCTGACAACGTTCTTACTTCTGAACCTGCTAGCAATTGAAGAAGATATAGGCATGTCAGCTATTATTATAGGGAGCAACAATCAAAACACACCCCTGGACAGCCTCGTCAAGCCCGGATACTACGAAAAACTCCGGCGTGACCGCGACTTTATAACCTTTGCCGTGGTCTCCAGAGCAGTCACTTCCCACACTATCGACAATGTGAATCTCGAAGACTCTACTGGAGTGACTATCTTGGATGGCTCCACAATTAGCAGTAGAATGACGAAAAGAAAAAGGATCGCCGCAGCGGGCAACACTGCCTAGGGAGAGACTTGGAAATGGATACACCGCTGATGGAGTTGCTCGCAGCCCAAAGAGCAACCTGCGTTGGAAGATTAATGAGCGAACATGGTAAAAGCTAACGAGACGCTATACCGCTAGACCGAAAAGTTATGCACAGCTGGTGGTCAGCCAGCTATCTCCAACAAAAGCTATGTACACTTCCACGATGAGACCTCAAGACTGCAAATATCATTATTCAGCCGACGATGGAGTGTTTGGAACTGAATTCCAGTAGATGAGTATACTATCTGTCTATCAAAATTGCATGATGCCCAACAGTCTGGGGCTGTTTCCATGGCACACCAAGTTCGTCGAAAGATGATTGAATTTATTTTGGCATTTGGTCGAGTGTGGTGGTGCATGGATCGAATTGTTGAAGTCTATAGCCATCCTCCCCCCTCGTTAATAAGGAATATGTCGAGTGTAGGGCCTATTGCGGGTCCAACCTGGAAGGTGTTTGATGGTAGGGAATTTATGTAAATATCCGGGAACTACCAAGAACCTAGGCGCTAAGAGGTGCGAAAAATCCGCCACATAGGACGTAGTACCCCAATGAACTGGAAAACAATAGCTCCCATGTGCATATATCTGCACAGTGGGGTATCACCACGCTAGATCATCACCTTAAGAACCATGGACGGGGGTGCCCAGCCAGCTATCTCTCCCATTGAGCGTGTACTACTCTCAGATTTCCGCCTGAATCAAAGTCGCCAGGGTAGTGATGTCTTCTTTTGGAGGCTGGGAGAAGCTTGATTGCCATATAGACAGCAACATCCGATAGTCGTGTCCCGTCAGGTGGCGATTCAAAGGCAACAGACATCATTGCGGCTAGTATGAGTCTAATACTTGACAGATCGAATGACCCTCTGGTAGTATGCCGAGGTATCACCAGCTGGGTATTATCATTTCCTAAAGTCCACTCAATAGGGTTCTGTACACGGTTCTCATACTCTTTTATTGAGTATCTCTGGTAGTTGGCAAAAGTTTGCATCTTTATCTCGAATAATGACCAAGTGACTGAGGACTGGGATAGAGCGGATGGTGCGAGTATTATCGCCTAGGCAAACCATGACACCATTTGATGGACGGCGAATTTGTTCGAAAGAGCAACAGTATCATTCGGTGCATCGTTGGATGGCTCGACAGTACTACCGGCATCCGGAGAGGCAGTTTGATATCGATCATGAAAGAGGAAAGCAAAAGACAAGTCGACAAGTCCACAAACTACTCCGAAAGGAAACTTCATTCAAGCCCATGGGAGAGAAAGCTGAAGTATTAATGACTGACTGCCCCCAGCAGCAGGTAGCAACCGGACACTAGAATCCCTGCGGTACGGAGGCATTGATTGAAGGAATTCACAGTAGAATACTTGGATTTGAAACTTCGAGGTAGGGGGCAGCTAGACTAAGGTGAAGGATAAAGTTAGGGCTAAACGGATCACCCTATATAGGTTCCCACCCCCGGCCAAACAGATTCACCATAGACGCCGAAATTGACGGATTGTTTCTACTGAACACAATTGCACAGAAAGGCTAAACCGAGGTCGCCCGACTTCTCATAGAGACCGGTGCGGATGTCTTAAGAAGGCCATCCGCTGCAGAAAGCGGCGGGCCATGGCCACATTGAGACTGCCACACTTCTCATTGAGGATGGGGAAGACGTTAATCAAGGCTATCCTCTTCATGCCGCCGCTTAGGGAGATCATCTCAAGATGGTGCAGCTTCTTTTGGAGAGCGGGGTCAATTCAAATGCTGAGCAGGATATTGAGACCGCTCTTGAGATTGTCTCAGAATTGAATTATAAGGCTATAATTGAATGTAGCCTGCAGAGTGGGAGGCCTATTGAACGTGGTCACTGAGGGTGTACACTCAGGGCCCACTCCAAGGCAAGCTGAATCGCATGCCTTCCGTGGTTTTGACCCTTTTTTGCTACCAAGCCTGGTTAATAACGAAATTTGATGTTTCTCGCCGAATTACCGGAAGCGTTATATTCTTTTATTCAATGAAGTGCGTAATTTGGCTTCACGTAGGCAGTTATCCAGAGTAGGAAGGTGCTATCGTGGCCTCTGGAATCGCCCTCCCGGCTCGTCTATATAAGGACCACCTACCCCCTTCTTTGGGCTCTCGATTCTTTCTTCGGTAATTATTTCTGGCCACTGTCGTCAGACGGTGAGCTGGAGCTTCTGATATTCATGGTCGTTTATATTTTCTATGCCGGCATGGCCCATGTTCCAAAATTCCAGCAATCTAAAAGCCTACGAACCTCGTCCAAAAGGTTTCACGTAAAGGTAAGATCTTTTTTATTACTTGCTAGTAGACCTATGCATCTACTTGGTATCACGAATAGTGCTGATGGTTGAGTAAAATTAGAAAGCATTGGCGAAACTGAAGAAGAATTTCCATTTACTGTTTTGGATTCCCGAAAGAGACGGAAGGCTATATTCGATTCGGATGACGAGGACGATAATGAGCCCCGCGAGCTATTAGACATTCAACCGTTCGAGCATATACCAGACACGCTCCCTGATGAGCAGTACATCCCAGGGCCAGATGATGATGAAGATAACGAAGATAATACGAAGATCAGGGAACCATTAGGCTCTCAACCATTCAAGCATCCCCGTAATGGAAGTTGAACTACGAAAATGGTTACAGTTTTTGGCCAACTGAACCCACGAGTGTGACCTGAAACAAATTCAGCAACTCGACAGGGAACATCGACCAATGGCATATACCTACTGGTATATTCTGGGGAAGACTTGGATTGATACATTGATGGAGAAGTTATTGGAGGAGGTTAATAGAGCGCAAACCGCTGTTTAAGCTTGAGTCGGAATCTTTTCCTTCATTATACAGAAAAGCAAATGTACAAGTAAGAAGACAACGTACCGCAGACGCATGCAATTCAAGGAGAGAAAGAAAAAGAGGTTCGGACCATGGACCCCAATCCCACTGTCTCAGGGGAACCAAGGAGGCCGTCTAAGCCATCAAATCACACCTTTCCGAGTTTCCTCGTCATGCCGTAGAGTCGGCCGATCTCAGCCTTGACCTCCTGAATAGAATCGCTCTTGGCTTTGACAAGAGCCTCTGCAACCGCACGCTCCTCCTTCAGCTTTCGCAGAGACTCTTTCTCAGCCCCAATAGATTCCTGCAGCTGGGATCGGCCTGCTCAGCCGGGGTTAACTCTCGCGGCGAGGTCTTGGCCTGAGGGGGTGGTACGAGCCACCCTGGGAGGGAGGAGCTAGGAGCATCGGGCTCCTGTGCACTATGGCACTTGGCTGTCAAAGCCAAAGGTAACTGATCTTCTTCTATTGGTGTTCTCAGTGACCTGGACTTCGTAGATATTGGAAAAAGAGGTGGGATCTATTTCGATCGGTGTGTTAGCATTACCCAAATCACCCCCAGGACACAAAAGGGAATAAAGAAGAACATGATAGATACTCTTACCCGCTCGGATATAGTCCAGATAATGAACGGATGTTAGTTGCTCTGTTTTAGAGAAGAATGTGGGTTTTGACGAGAATGTAGGAGAGAGAAAACAATGGGGGTGGCAGGTAGTAAAATTCTGGAGAGGACCATGGTCCTTAACACAACACGGAAGGCGCGCTTGAGAATTACCTCATCGTGCCTTCCTCTTGATTCTAGTGTTGATGATGCCTCACTTCATGGATGCATCGATCCATATCCGATAGCGAAGAAATACGGGTCGAGGTTGCGGGATATAGCAATAGATTATGGTCCCGGGTTTTGGGAAATATCTACAAAATGTCTCACCAGAAGGGTCGTTCGGGCATCGAACTAATCTACACAGATAGGGCCAGGAGTTGGATCAATAATCCCGCGTTGTTTAATAAAATAACAAAGGCGGCCATGGCCGGCTAGGAGGTATTCGCGTCCGTAGGCCAGCACTAATGCCAATATGTGTATCCAGAAGCATTGTGATACCTCCCAAATTCGGTCAGTTGCTCGAATGCAGCTGGCATAATGGGCAACAAGGTCAGTTTCCCGCTTTTTCTACACCCCCCGGGAACCTCAGTAGCTCTACCAGATCGTACTTTCATGTACATTTCGTGGGCTATGAGGCAAGTCATGAAACTGAATATGTTCATGTCCTGGCGGCATAGACCAGGATAATGAATGAGTTGGTTGCCAACTGTGCAGTGGTCGTTGACTGGCCGGAACCATACCGAGGCCGTTGCCTCGGTGTTGGAGGCTATGCCAACGGTCAAATAAGGACCTCAGCAATAGCAGAAGGCAACTGAGAATAAGTGCTTCAGTTGTGGCGGATATCTGCAAGTACTCAAGGCCTTATAGTTATTGGCCGACGCCATGGTCGGGGCCCGGAACAAGTCATGATCCGCGTGGTATGCGGTAGTACTGCCGCTTATCACCGCCTAACCACGTCCGTTTCCATACAACTACTTCAATATAGCATCAAGTTCCAACTTCTACAAAGCAGCAAGCATGAAATGAATTGAAGAAATATGAAATTCATAGGATCGTAACCTCTATAAACATGACATAAGCTGAGTAAGCAGTATTAAGCCCATCGCAGTTGTCGAAATAAGCCACTTTTCGCTCTATCAACTAATTCAAAAGTCCTCATCATCAACGTCCTCTCCTCTCTTCTTCTTCGCCAGTCTCTCCTTCCGCTGTTTTCGCTTGTCGCCGGCTGAAAGGACCTTCTTTTTCTCTACCTTCGTCTGTATTGGAAGAATGGTTAGCATATGTTGTTGTTAGGATGCGGGGGAGCCCCCCGGAGCCCCCCAGGGGTCTCTGGAGGGTCTGGGAGGTGTAGAAAAAGCGGGAAACTGACCTTGTTGCCCATTGCGTCGATGACTTCCTCGGGCTCGTCCTTTTTCTCAAGTCTAGGACCGGATCCTTGACCCTGAACCCAGTTGTGACCAGAGGGAGTCATCTTGCCGTCCACGACAGCCCAGACTTCCTCGGTGAGGTTCTCGGTGAACTCGGCGGAGTGAGTAATGATGATGACACCACCATCGAAGGCCTTGAGAGCCTTGGAAAGAGCACCAAGGGAGTCACGGTCAAGGTAGTTGGTGGGTTCGTCGAGGACGATCACGTGAGGTCGTTGCCAAGAGCAAGCAGCGAGCACAACCTTGACACGCTGACCACCAGAGAGACCACGCATGCGGGAGTGAGAAACAAGTTCGTCCTCAAGACCGAACTGGGCGCAGTGGGCTTCGATCTCCTTGCGGACCAAGGGGCGGAACTGACCGC